ACAGACAAACCCGTGACAATATGCGTTTTGTACTGCTGTTACACAGCACAAAACGCATAAAAATGACCTGGATGACCACAGCAAGCAAATTTTAAACGGGTATCTCAAAACGCCTAATTTGGACTACTAATCTGGTGTTTGGCTGAATTAAGCACTACGAGTGTCACTAAGAATCTTATTAATCCAAGTGATACATTTGCGCGATTTAATTAGACACTCCAGAACTTTTCTTGAAGCGAGCATGGGATGCAGCAACAAGTGTTTTTCGTGTGTGTAACAAATTTCTTCAGGTAACCATCACCAAACCTGGTAAAGCGTCGGGCTGGCGACGAAAAGATGCAGACCGTTTAGGGCGCCCAAGCAGAAAGCAGTCCACGAACTGAACGACAGCAACTGGTCGGCAGAAGTAAAGTCCACCAAATGAATTCGTTTTCGAACATCATCAAATACCAAATAAACAGCTGCTAGTAATGTCCCCTGAAATCAAGTTTGCTGACTTTACCAAGGCACCGGCATGACAGAAACAAGAGAAGTATTACTTTCTTCTGCGACGGTGTATAAAAGGTATCGATTTTTATTAAAAAATGAATTATGCTTCAACATTTTTATTTATTTCATTCATCAGTTCGAAGTACCCGGCACAGCTGTATCTGGCATAGGGAAGCAACCCAGTAACATCACTGTCATGAGACATCAAAAAGGCTGCTCAGGTGCTCTTCGTATTCTCAGCATGTCAACAGTTATTACAAATTTAATATATGTTAATTTTAAAAGACATACGTTATTTTATATGAACGAATTTTTTTTCGAGCCAAGGGTTCCAGAAAAATCGTTAAATTTGTTTTGCTCCTTATTAGCTTTTCAATAGTAACCCTTAACTGGGGGAAGTTAGAAAACGGAGCCGGCAGACTAAATATCTTTTTAGCCACAAGATCCAAATCTGAATCCCCTAGTATCAGTACTCAAGTCCCGACGGAAGCTAGAACTCTCGCGCATACTGCCGATCTCTGTATATTTTTTTAATTTTTCGTCTCATTCAATAAAGTTTTAAAATTATGATCATATATGAAAATTCAAAAAAATTCTAGTGGGTATATGCATTTAAAAAATGAACATTTTAAAGCGAAGATGAGTTTTCTTTTTAAAAAATTCGACGAGCATATAAATTCCAAAAAAAAAAACAATTTGAAAATTTAGCAAAATGTTTCAAAAAGAAACTGATAATTTAGAGCAAAATCATTAAAACTAGCGAGGAAATTCCAGAAGGAAATTCTTCCGTTTCATTCTGAAAATCAGCGTACCGCACTTAGGATGAAAAACATATTCGAGGAAGCGGTCGTCTGTCCACCAAAAGCGATTGCGAACAGGGCAATGTAACCAAATATAATGCACATCTGATACGGCGATGTCCTGGTGATCAGTGTTACAGTCAAAGTTAGCAGTAACACTGATAATATCGTTAACAACACTAGATTTATCACAGACACCAGCAGATAAACTGAAAATTGGAAAAGTAATTGAGGCCATGTGTCTTCTTACTCGAAAATCGATTTCCTGGTGCTTTTACGTCAGAGTTACTGTAATATGCAAATTCCTCGTCTGAATTACTATTCCACGAAAATTTTTCGCTTCTTCTGAATTTAAGCACGAGGAGGTGAATTATCAACATACGAAATGATTGATTGTAGCGGAGCTTGATATAACAGCACAGGTTAGGAGATGGATTACAGTGTAATGCTCGGCTGCCAAATAGAACTGAAAACACTGCTGCACATCCGTGGCCCAAAAAGTATTGGAGCATCTGATCTGCTGGAATTCCCGAAAAATTTTCTCAAAAGATCTAACAAGAAAAAAATATAAAAATGTAGAATTTCTGGAATTTTAACCAGAATTTTTAACCAAAAGATGAAGAATTTTGATGATGTAGAATTTTACCAAAAGATAATGTAGAATTTTTTAACCAAAAGTACCATCTTATTTCAGTTTCTTCATTTATATTTTT